GGTTTCATAAGGACAAAGTAAATATTTCTGGCAGTATTGAATAGCCCTGTTAATTTTTAGTTTCCCTTGGCTGTTAAGGGCAGTAACAGCAGTTTACTAGAATATTCTGTAGAGTTTCTTCAGCTCTTGGAGGGGCTCATATTGGGGCATTTAAGTTGACTTTGAAGAATTTTTATAGGATTTTGAAGATACTCACCCTCCTACCCGCAAGGGTCCTAGCTGATTATGATAGAGACTGACTTTTGGGCCAGTGTTTTGATGATGAACCCTTAGGAGTTTATGGGGAGGCCTAGGTGTTGTTTTGGGTTTATGGCCTTGGAATTGTTGTAGCTATAAGGCTATTAGCTTGGCAGATTTTTGTTTTCAATCTTGCTCTGAAATGGAGTAGGACCTTGTGAGCCCCCCCTTCCCAAACCCCTGCCTGTTATTTATAGAACAGCTGAAGTTTCCCAGGCCTCCATGAGTCATAGAAGAGCATGCTCAAGCAGTTGATTAGGACAAGCCTGCAGACACTGGGGAATGGCAATGACTCTGACCACCTGTCTCGAGGATTAACTGAGATTATTCCTTCATTTCCCTTTCAAACTTGGCTGAAAAGAATCTTTGGAGATGGCTTTTTGTGGGGGTTGCTGGGTCCACTACATTGTAGGCATTCTGGTTAAAAGCAGCTTTCGTTTTGTTATCAGGGCTCTTGCCCCCAGCAGGGAAGAAAGAAGAACTGGTTAGAACCCACCAAGTCCAAAATGGTGGAGGATTTGACCTTGAGCATCATTATATGCTCATTGTAATGTATTAGCAAGCTAAATGACACGCCCACCAGCACCATAACAGTTGACTATTGCCATGACAACAACCAGAAAAACCCATAAAAGGACTGATTGGCTCCATCATACACAAAAGGAAGACGTGATAGCAGAAGCTTCCCATAAAAGTCCACATGGCCTGACCCAGCCAGAGCTGTCTCTACCACCCATCTTGGCTGACAGCTCCCTGCTCGAGCTCTTTTCTTCCCTTCTCTCTGCTGGAGCACTTTCCTTCCATTTCCCCTTCCATTTCATCCCTCAACCTCTGCTGTGTGAATTCTTTCACAGCCAGCAGCAAGAACCCACACTTTGGTGAGCTTCCTAATTTAGGGATCCCTCCATCCAGTAACAGCTCCATGATCCTTTCAGAATGCTCAGCAGTAGTCAAGTTCAGTCAGGCCTATGGCTTCGCATTCTGTTTTCTGCCTTTTTATAATGATTTGTGAAAAATCAGTTGCTATTTTTTGAGCCCTCTCTGGTATCATCCTCAGGGTATTGCCATCTTGCTTCCTGCATCCATTTTTGGCTTCCCAGTTCAAACATGTACAAGCTGATAAAGATTTAGTATTCTAGGGTCATAGGCAGTAACAACACTAAAACTCTTAAAACTTTTGGGGCTCCTGTCATTGCTGAAAAACCAGCCTCTGTACCCTGATAGCTGAATTGAGAGTTGGAGGCTGAGTTTAGGGAGTATTAGAAAAGAACAGCTTTATTGCTTTGCCAGACAAAAGGAGTCATAACAGGCTAATACCTTAAAGACTGCGAGCCTACCTTGGAGTAAGGGTCCTGGGGTTTTACAGAAAAATGGAAACAGGAGGGAGATAACAATCAAGGTGTGAGCAGACGCTACATTTTTTTCATCTTGATAAGAACTTGGTCTTGTTATGGAGGAATTTAGGAGGATCTGCCCATTTTCTTGAGGTTCAGTCCATGACCTTCTTTCATGACCTCTAGGATAAAAGAATAAGTAATTCTAAGAAAAAAACGCACAAGGTGGGGGGCGTGTTAGTCATAAGATCAGTTTAGCTAGAAGTACAGGCCTGAACAACTCAGTAGCCATCTTGTTAGTTTTCTGCTCTTTCACTTTTGAGGTTTAAGAAATTCTTTTCCTGTAGTGGAAGAGTTTCATCTGCATCTTCAGGTATTGTTTTATCTTGTTTTGTTTTATTTAATTAATTGATTTATAAACATATTTTTATTGAAGTGTAGTCAGTTTACAATGTTGTGTCAGTTTCTGGTGTACAGTGCAATACTTCAGTCATATAGGAACATACATATATTCGTTTTCATATTCTCTTTCTCCATAAGTTACTACAATCAGGTAGTTTTATTTTAAACAGCAACTGTCTAATAGTCTCTTCAGAGTAGAAAGGCAGTTCAGACAGGGCAGTAGTAAAACGAGTACTCAGGTGAAAAAGGAAAGAAGAAAGCAGTAGGAGTCACATCAGTACTTTTGTTTCAGGCACCTTTTATATCTTTAACTTTTCATCAACTTTTTGTAATGAGTTTTTCAATGAAGACTTTTGGAGTTTTGAAAACTTTTGAAGTCTTCTGCATACTAATTAAAATAGATATTCCATTGTGTTTGCTTTGGGAGGTTTCTTGCTTTTAAGTGTACCTTTTAAATGACCTTATCTATTTGGAACATTGATCATAATGGCCGCTGTAATTCTAGGTTATGTTTAGTAAAACTTCACTGATTTGCTCAGCATCTGTAGCTTCCAGGACTGTAGTTCTTTGTTTTGTTTTGTTTTGGGGGGGGGTGTATTTTTAAATTTATTTTAATGGAGGTACTGGGGATTGAACCCAAGACCTTGTGTATGTTAAGCATGTGCTCTACCACTGAGCTATATACCCTACCACCAGGACTGCAGTTCTTAAACATAAAATAAGCAGGTGTACTGGAAGGTGGCAAACTCAACTCTTTGGATATAAAGGATCCCATTTCTTTTAGCCATACCTTTGGGTTTCTCAGAGCCAAACTAATACCTCAGGGGATGTGCCACAGGGTTAGGGATTGTGGGGTGTTTTACAATGCACCTGGTGTTACTGGACTCAGTAGTTCCATTGCTTGGGGTGCATAGCCAATGAACAAGCTGAATACTTTTGATCAAAGCATAAGCATTTATTGGTTATGACAGATGAGACAGGGAGATAGCCCTTATGGCACTGTCTCCCTGCACAGCATGATCAGGGTAGTTTTAAGCTAAGGGTGCATGCATATTCATGAAAGGGTGATAGTGATCTTCCATATAGAGGTGGAGTTTGAAATGCCCTTGCACAGTGCTACAGCATGCTCAAACGTGAAGGTGGTCCCCTCTCTTGGGGTGGAGATTTTAGCATTAAAATGAGGCAAAGTTCACTCTAGGTTGACAGAATCCAGGCACCTAGTTGAGTGAAGTCAGAGGGTCAGCAAAGCTCAGCATTATCATTCCTTAGACTCCAGTTAGTCTGGTGGATTAGTTCTCAAGGGAGTTTGGATCCTACAAGACAGCTCAAGAATGTACTTCAGGCTGATCTTTGCCTTTGAAACCGTCTTGGAATCTTTATGACTAATTTATTATCTTTACTATAGTGGTTACTTCTTTTGCCTGATAATAGTCCTTTTTTCCTGAATTCTTTATTGTTTTTAAAATCCTTAATTTCTGAGATCTGTTTATTTTCACATGAAGACCTAGGAAGCCGTATGCTGAAGTGTTCCTTCCTCTCTCGAGTGGATGAAACTTATCCTCTGGTAGATCCCTTGAGGAGGGCTTATCTAGTATAGAATTCTCCAAGGTCTTGTATGTTTAAAACTCTTTTCCTATAACCTTAATATTTGAAGCACCTCTTGGCTTGATATAAATCCTTAGTCTATGCTTTCTTTTATGGAGTTTTTTGAAAAAAATTTTTTTTTTGCTTTGTATACTGTTTTTGAGAACTCTGATGGGACTGTGATTCTTTTGCCTTTCTACATATGTAGGCCCTGAGATTTATTATCCATATCTTGAAGTTTGATGGTTTTACTAGGCATTTTTGTTAGGCTGTAATTAGTTGCTATGGAACAAATTACTTAAGAACTTAATGTCTTAAAAGCAACTAGTAAATACATATAAATTCAAAATTTCTGCAAGTCATGAATTTGGGAGTACCTTTCCTGATGGTTCTGGTCTGGTTTGAGCTCTCTCATGAGGCTGTAGTTAAGTTGTAAGGACTTCAGCCATCTGAAGGGTTGACTTAGGTCTGCTTTTAAGATGACTCATAGAAGCTGGCAAGTTGGTGCTTAGTTCTCCACATGAGCTTTTCTGTAGAACGGCTTTATATCCTTATAACATGATGGTTGACTTCCCCCAGAGTGAGTGACCCAAGAGAGAGCAAAATGGAAGCTGCAATGTCTTTTATGACCTAGTCTCAATTTTTTAATTGTTTTAGGTGAGAGGCTAAATTGGTCCATATTACTCTATGTTGGTTAGAAACAGAAGATTCTTGGCTATTATTTCTTCCATAATTTTAATGCCTCATCCTGTTTATCCTCTCTTTATGATATTTCAGTTACATGTGTGTTTTACCTTTTAGAGTGTAGACTATATTACTGTGAAGAGCACTGATATTTCATCAGTTAGCTTGACTGAGCTCACACTCTCAACTTTGTCTGCCTGCTGTGGGCAATAGCTCAAACCTCTGTTCAGTTGTTTAGACTTTCATTTGGCTGCTTGGAGTCTGCCCACACTTGCATAATTTTGACAGCCAGATATTTGGGCAGAATTTATATGAAAAAATTGGGATTCTTCTTCTCTGGATCTCTCAATTCTGAACTTTCTGTCTTCATTTTGTACCTCCTGTAGTTATTCTGAACTCTGTTTCAAATTCTGTCAATCAATAAACTCCAGGTTTGCATTTAAAGACTGTCTTAATGAGGCCTTCCCTAATGATGCTATTTAGAAATTGAAGAACCACCCATCCCTTTCTGGTGCTTCATTTTCTTTTTTTTTTTTCTCCCACAACTCTTATCCACTACACAGAATGTGTTTTAACATTTGTTTATTTTCTGATTCCCCCAACTTGAAGGAAAGCTCTATGAGGGTAGATATACTTCCCTCTTATTCAATGCTACTTCCTCAGTTCCTAGAAAAGCTCAGGTTGATGCTTAATAAAAATGTGTTGTATTAATGAATGTATCAATGCATTAATTTACTTCTTTTCCTATCCCTTGTATAGTACCCGAAAGGCAGTGGATGAGGAAGAGGAAGCTGCTGAAGAACGTCGGAATATGCGAACTATTTGGGTGACTGGCAGAAAAGGCTTAACTGAAAGGGAAGTAGCAGCCCTTATAGTGGAAGAAGCCAGAATGATTCTGCAGCAGGACTTAATTGAAATGGGAGTGCAGTGGAATCCATATTCCCTTTCGAATTCTGATACACACTCATTGATCAGCAGTAAGTCAGAAGTAAAAGAACACAAATTTATACCCCAAATTGAGAGTTCTTATAAAAGAGTAACAGCAAAAAGAAAAAGTAACACAGTATTCAGCGATTCTTCTGTGAATGATTCACCAAATACAGTGCACGATTTAGATAAAAGTACAGAGGGTACAAATTTCTTTTCTCACAAGTTTCAGGTTGGAAATCAAGAACATCAGTTACATTGCATTACCAGAACAAGAAAACAGGCTTCTCTGAATATAAATAAAAAGAATCTAGGAACCTCTCTGCGTGAGGGGAAAACAAGCTCTAAGAAAGTTGTTCAGACTCTCTCATCTGAGAAAACAAAAAAAGAAGCTTTGAATTTCAGTTCAGAAAAGATGAATACAACCTCTCAATCTTGGAAACATAATAATAAGCATCTAAAACTATCCAGAGACAATAGCCCTATCAAAGACACTAGGATACACAGGATCAATTTACAAGAACGAGCTATGTCTAATCCTGTTCATTGTGAAGACTCATTTACTTTAATTGAGAATATGGAATTTAGAAGTCCAGAGCCATTTGCTAAAAATGTATCTTTCTGTGCTGAGGGAAAATACAACAAAACATTATTCCTATCACAAACGGAACAAAGTTGTTTAAGGAACGAAACAATAGCTAATGATATTCTAGTTGAACATTTTATCGCAGGATCCCAGAGTAAAAAAGTAATTTGTCAAGACGCTAAGGTGGTTAGTGAAAATGGAAGAGAATTAGCAATTGAGTCAGAAAAAATAAATAAAGCATGGATACAAAATGAGTCAAAAAACCACAATGTTTGTGTGAAACACTATGACAGCCATCCAGGTAACTGCCTGGAAAAGCAGTTTGATAAACAGGCAAACACTTATACCAAACTGAAAAAAATAACAGCAATACAAATGCCCTGTGAGACAGACTGTAGTTACATGAATAGAGACTCAACTGTTATTGTCAGACGTGAAAGTGTAAAGTTTAATGCTGAAGAAAATAAATCAAATAATCTTCAGGTGTCAGAAGATAATACAAGCATCACTGAGATTCCCAGTGGAGTACATCTACCAAGTAGAGCATGTGGTAAGTCAGGAGGCCAGCCTGAGAATATTCTAAATACCCCTAGGGTACAAGAAAAGACAGATGCTTATGCAGCAGTCAAAGCTAAAAATGATCATGTTTCTGACCTAGG